CCATCTATCGCAAGACCGCGCAACTACTACTACACGGAATTTCGGCTCTGTTGACAGTCCCAGTCTCCGCAAAGCATCTGTATACATGTATTTCCTATTCGGTGGGAATATATCTTTTCTAGACTTTCAATCTTAGTTCTACAAATTCGGTATCGTTCATTTCAATAATGTGATGTTTGCTGCCCGCTTATTTTCAAGATATGGACTCTAAAACTCTTATATCAAGCAAATATATATCCGAGGTGACAGCTGTGCGAGCCAAAAATAAGTAAATTTTATAATTTTTTTTCGATTTTCTCATAAAATCCAGTGTAGCAAACATCCTCTGTGTGCGTACTATAATTTAAGTAATAATACTTTTGCAATCCGTACATCCAATACGGAGAAATCCCACCGAATAGGAATGTGGTAAAACAGGGGGGCTTTAGCATCGCCTTAAGACATTACTTAAGTCTTGAAATAAGAATCGACTATGAATACCAACCTAGGTGTTGACCAATGAAATTATCAGTATTCTAGTAAATTCTCTCACTTTTGTAATTTTCACCTAGTTTCAAGATACAGAATCGATCCCAAAATCTGACTATGAATACCGGCCATAGTTAGTATTATTAGTACAGTCTTAAGATGTCATGAATCAATCAGAAGGCCACGTTAGCGACTTAAGCCTAGATCCTCATCCGGGCAACAGCGCTTTAACACAGAGCGCTAATTGGTGAAAAGCCGATTGTAGGGGGTAAAATTTATCGGGGTGATCCCGATTGACCACCGCTCGATAGGACACCACCAATCAGCGACCCGTGTTTAGGAGCTTTGTAGTCTCAAGCGCTGTGAGTGGCTCGTGTCCAATTGAGCCGTGTCCAACTGGGTGCCACCCGTCACTAGTACTATAAATGGCTGCCAAGTCACGCAATTGGTTAGATTGCAACAGCGACTCAGAATGCATAACACCAGTTGCGCCTCTCTGTTAAATCTAGGATTCTAGTTTCGAGTCTGTTCAAGTGTGATTTTGATGAATAAGGCCCTGCGCACAATGGAGGAAATATTAGGAACAGGAATAGATATTAAGATTTCAACCTATCAGAAACCGTCTATTCCGATGCAACTGGTATCTGATAGGTTAAAATTTTAATATCTATTCCTGTTCCTAATATTTCCTCCATTGTGCGCAGGGCCTTAAATGATATTAGGAACACACCCGCAAATCGGATCTCGTGTGATCGGATTTCGTTGTGTCCGTTAAGGTTAAAATTCAAATCTTTTAACGTTAGGTATTAAAAGTTTGTACACAAGATACACACACTGCACATATCGCGTTCCATTTAAGTGTGGCAAACTGTGTTGAGTGTGTTATACTGTGTCGATTTGTGTCTCCAATGGTGCGTTCGGAGAGACGCTATTAGCTCTACTCTGTTATTCTATCTTTGTTGTTTATTAGACGTAAAACAAGGATAGAATAACAGAAATAGCGCTAATAGCATCTCCCCGAACGCACCTTATTTCCTCTCTTATGCGCAGGCCCTAAGGTTACCCTTTATGGGGATAGTTAAGGCTGCTTTCCTTTTAGGAGACACAGTCGACACAAATCGACACAAGTGTTGTTCTATCTTTGTCACTCTCTGAATATCAAGAAGGATAGAACGACATTTGTGTCGGGAGGATCCCGTTTGCCTACAGTTCTGATTGTACACACCACTCATATCAACTGGTGCCTAGTAATTTTTTACTGTTTTGCCAATGAAATTATTTTATTTTTAAATTGGCCAATCAGCGATACATGTGTGCAATATGCGATGGTGCAATCGGAGCCCTCCCATTTGTGTCGACTTGTGTCGATTTGTGTCATCAAATGGAAAGCAGCCTATATTATATATAATATAATATGTATGTGATCTAATGTATATTTATGTGTATGTATATGGTGTTTCAATTTGAAAAAATACATATTCGTATTTATATGCGGTATTTCCTTCATTTTCTTTATTTTGTTGATTACTTTTGAATTTCGCGCCAATTATCTTTTTTTTTAGAGTAGAATCGTAGGGATTTTTCGTAACGTTGATAAGGAAAAATGGTATTTCCATTTTAACCACACTCTTTCTATTATTTCTATGCTTGTTGTCTTGCAAACAGCAAGTTCCAAAATTGACTGTACTGACAATCTATAGTGCACGTAACGTAAACTGTCGTATTTTCAATGTTGGCAGTAAACTTGGAACACAGCTAACATACGTAATAATAAGCAACTGATTTATTATTAAAAATATTGTTTATTCTAAGTGGTGATATACTCCTGAGTATATACTTATATACTACAATTCTATAAATTAATGAAAAAATGGTTTCATCGTGTTGTATATGTTCGAAGGAAAATTTCCCTTCAGAACCACATCGATCATTTCACAGGTAAAACTGCAAAAACTGAATATTTGATTATAATAACGAATAATCGTATTAATATAGTAATCAAGCAATTAATTAAAAATCCAATTAATTACAAGTATTATAGTGACGATTATTGATAACGATGCAATGTACTAATTGTAAATTAATTTTTTAAAGAAGCTTTGCTATGTATGCATATTTAATTATATAGATAATAAATCCCTAAGCTTTTGATAAATAAATTTTCTTAATTTTATACACGTTCTTTGACAAAAACTTTAAAATATGTAACATTTATAGGATACCAGCGAATGAAGAAATGAGGAATAAATGGTTACAGATAATTGGTCGTAATCTTTCGTACAAAGGAGCCAGAGTTTGTAGTGATCATTTTACGGAAAACGATTATCATGACATAAATCCTTGTGCAAAAATCAAAAGATTAAAGAATACTGCCGTTCCTTCTGTGACCCTACAAAAAAAGTGAGACATTCTTTAATTAAAAATAATATATATTAAGAGAGTTCAAATAATTTATAATAATAAATCTAAAAATTATTTTACACATCTCTATTTAGAAAAAATACGAAGGGGACATATCTAAACACTGATGTAAATGTATATAATAGTTATGGAATCATGTTTCAAGATGAAAATGATATTACTCTTCACAATTCAGAAAATCATGAAACTAATGCAAGCAACTGTAATATTGATACCAAAGAAAGGTTGGTATATACATATATTTGATGATATATGGAATTTATCGTTTTATAAAAGATTCTTGTGACAAAAATACTGTCAGTGGTTTGCTATTACAAAGTAGATACCTAACTCAATTGTCACATCTAAAATTTAATTAATATTGCATGTTAAGTTTTTCTCTGCTGAATTAATATACACTTGTATTTGAATTAAAATAGATATATATTTGAAGTTTGGTAAGAACAATATTGAAAGTTTTAGGTGTAGTGGCAAAGTACAGATCTAATTTTTAATAATTTTTACTTTCAAATAACACTTATTTGCAGTGAAAATATAAGTAATGAACTAGAGTTGACTCAAAACACAAGTGAAGATTTAATTATTTTCTTAAATTCCGAACAAGAAATGAATGCTACTTGTATCAATAATCAAGAAAAAATTGATGTCTATTTTGAAAATGATATAAATGATATGAATAGAGAGAGGTAAGATAAACACGAAGAAAAAAAAATTAATCTTTTTATTTTATATCTTGCAAATGCTGTAAATAAAAACTTTTTTTAGAGAAGTTCCATCACCTAATTTAGGAAATTACAAAATAAAAGAAAAAATTTTAAAATCTTCCAAACACACTACAGAACGCTTTACAAAAACAGATTTTTTATCAGAAGAAAAGTGGACAGCATTTCTAAAATGTATTACTTACAATAAACGTGTAAATAGACTTATGCGA